TGATATTTGCAAGTTATTGTATACTGTCTTTTATTGATATTTTAAACATACAACTTAGTTAAATAAAACTAACATACCTTAAACATGCTATATTTAGGGACGATGCCACACTAACGTTTTATCAAAAACAAAAGAGGGCCACAGGCAACTGTTGTGTATGTTGCCACCAGACAGGTTCAGAAGGGAAGTGAATTGCTGCTCAGAGTGTAACGAATGGCTATTTCCCCCCTGCTGTTTGTGAGACACCTGTGGGTGGAGTTGTCACTTCTGCTTTTCATTTTGCACCGGACATCCTAATTTGCAGAAAGAAAGAGACAAATGGGTGATTTCCATTGACATCTATCAGCAGAGAGCAGCAAACTGCAGTATGACAATCACAATAGAAACGGTCTGTGGTTTCAAGTAGATGATAAAACAGGCAGCTTTTCTGTGTAGGGAAAAAACCTGTGAAAGCCTAAATAAACATATTTAGAAGCAATATCCAATAATTAGATCATCCTCATAACAAATGTGGGGTTTTTTTTATTCTCATTGACACTTCTGGTGTAAATATCTCTACACAAGAGGAGAAATGCATGCAGGTTCAGCAGTTAAAACTTCAGACAGACTGACTCCTTGTCAGCCTGGGTACAGCACTAAAAAAAAACTTTGGGTTATTTTTATTTCCTTTTATCAGTGATAAATAGTAAGATGACTTTGCTTTGCTGAGGGCTTTTTTAATAGCTAACAAACAGCTTTTCCTGGCCAATTGATGATTTTTTAAATGAGTGTAAACCTCATCAGATTTTGTGTTAAATGCTTTAAGTTGTGTGTGTAAGAGTGATACCAGAGAGTCAAGCAAGTACAGACAGCTACATGTATTTTCAGTCTGATTGTGTAAGTAATTCCACTGTGTTGGAAAAGAACAAAAGAAATGTTCATTGTTAAAGCAAAGGTCAGTGCTACATAGCTAGCTTAAACAAACTACCACATGTAAATCTTACATATTGTTGACTTGGACATTTGCAGTGTCGGGGCAGAAAAATTCAGGTAGCATTAATTTGTGGTATAACAGTAAAGTTGACCAAGTATTTTTCAATGTTCCCGCCGTGTGTCTGAGCCCGCGCTGGAATGGTAGCGCTGGGCAGGATGGCTGCTGTGTTTGCCTTCGATTACTACTCATCCCCACCCAACCCTGTAGCTTGTCACGTGTTTCATAATGTTGTGCTGTGGACATTTATGTACTTTTTTGTGCAGAGGAGTTTTTTTGTTTCCTGTTCTCATGCTGTCCTCCGAGGAGCCCAGCATGAGTAGAGGTCTCTTTTTTTCCTCTTGTACTTTCCCATTGTAGTGTATATTTCAGTGTTTTTTCTGTAACGCTACCGATCTCCGACCTGTATCCCCATGTGATGTCTGTGTTGTGTGTGTAAAGTCGAGGGGGTGTCCCATTTCACTGCAGGGCAACCTGCACGTGGCGAATAAAGCCTTGATTGGTTGGTTGATTGATTGATTGATTGATTGATATAGATCTAGGAATAAGAAAAGGTTACAATGTTATAGGTTACAACATAGGGTATATCACATGATTTTCAGAAGAGTTTCTGGTTATGATGTACCTATGGTGTAGACTGAACAAAACAGATAACTGTGGACACCATAGTCAAATACTTACTAATAAAAATAAAGTGTTCCTGTTTTGTGAACTACAAATGGAATCTGCTCAAAGCCTCAGGTTCACCTGCTGATTATGTATATGATCTGATATTTGTTTGATGAGAGCTTTGTACCCAAGGTCACCAGAGAAAGTGGAAGTAAATGGATGAGTAGTAGGCTGGCAGTTCTGGTGCAGGAACAGCTGCTGGAACCTGGGTTCTAACACTGGAGGTTGTAACACTTTTGGGGCTGTGTGGTGTAGACATTGGAGCTGTTGATAGGGAATGGAGGCAAAAGTTGCTGGGTTTAATTTTTCTATATGCAATACACATATACATGCAATATGCTGAGTGGTGAAATAAGATTGGACAGATGAGGCTGGAAAGCTGAACAACTACGGTGAAGAATGAAGGGTGTGAGCTAAACTTCCTGCTTGGTCTATTGGTCTGAGGTAGAAAGTGTCAGCATCATGTTGGCAGGTTCAGTTCAGTTTTTTTTGTTGTGCGCAAGTAAGCAAAGAGTCAAAATTGCAACAATGTGTGTCTGATGAGACAAAAAGTCTGCATCAGAAATTGTAACAGGATAAAAAATAACTAAAGTAATTAAATTTCCATGCGCTTTGTGAGTGTTTTTGCTAGATGTCTGTAATTCTTGATTATACTGTGGGCCTTACACAAACACCATTGAAGGTATATGTTATCTGTATTTTTGACAGTCAGTGCAGCTTCCTAATAATCTCGACATGCCCATCTTGTATACTCTATCAAGAAAAATGTGAGGATATATTGGAATTATTATCTTCTTCAATAAAGGAGTTGTTTGACCTGTTGTGGTTGGGTCTTTTTTATTTTTAACCAGAACTAACTGTTCTGCCACCAACAATCATGCCAAGGTCAAAGTTAATGAAGACGTTTTTTTCATCCAATGATTGTCTGATTGGATTCATGCATAAAGTACGGTGGCTGGGAAGTGCAAAGCGCAACAAATTAAAAAACCACAACAAATTAAAAATCCGCAACAAATTAAAAAAC